AGTACTGAAGCACAGGAAAGGAATTAGAGTCATGAGCAACAATTGTGTCCGTGATTGTCCCTCATGTAAAACGGGGTACATCATGAGCTATGATCTACACGCGATATGCGAATCCTGTCTGGGGCCAGAGCACGCGTACCCGTCTCTCAACCAGCAGGTTGCGTGTTCGCATTGTGCCCGTCTCCCATCAGCCGACAGGCAGCGAAGAGCGGACGCTCTAGCTGCCGCGGCTGAGGAGGACGACTGGCCAGTCCAGGAGCACAGGGACGACAGCCTGTTTCTGGAGCCGAGTGGTGGGCAGGAGTCGCACGACTCCTACCCCGTTTCCCTCCATGGCTCGCCATGCGGTCTCCTCGTTCCCCTAGGACGGGAAAAGGTAGCTCTGGATGACATGGCCGGAGTTTTTTCCCGCGTTCAGACGGGCAGGAGTGACCCGATCTGGCCGCGCTTCCCAGCCATTAGGAGGTACCAGGAGGGGGCTGCGGCGAACCCGAGGACCCTGAGGGCTCCGGTGGCCACCTTTGTTCCCTTCACTAAGGTGTAGGGATTCACTGACGAGGGTTTCGCAACCACCCCCGCTCTGGAGCAGAGCTTGACGGCGTTCTTTGGGGTTAAGCAGGCCAACTTGGTCGCCGGACGGCGCCCTGTGTTGGCCTCCCCCAAGGACCAGTATGTCGCCCGCCAGGCTGACCGGGCGCACCAGTGTGCGGTTCAGGCGTCTGCGGCGGCGAACAACATCGCGTTGCTGGCAAACTCGGTGGTTACGCTGGTGGAGCGGTCCACCACCGTGTCTCCAGAGGAGGCGGAGGAGATCGGCAAGGCGGCCAGCACGGCGCTCACGCTGTGCGCGTCCGTGGCTGTCTCCCAGGCGAGGATCGAAGGGTGGATGACGCAGATCCAGCGCCACCGCTGGCTGCAACAGGCGGCTGTTACAGAGCCGGCCAGGAAGGTCTTGCTGGACGCTCCTTTCAGCTCGGAAGGGCTGTTCGGATGATATCCGCGGGATGATATCCGCCAGCACGTTGGCTGGCTCCAGCCTGCGGCAAAGCCGCAGCGGCACCAGCGGCAGCAGCAGCAGCAGCAGCAGCAGCAGCAGTGGCCAACCCGGCCCAAGACACCAAATCTACTGCTTTTCAATATTGGTAGTCCGGGCGCTCGCTGGGGCGACGGATGATCTTTAGTTGTCTAACCTCCGTCGACCGCACAAATGACGGGGACATTGAATAATTTGGCTATCTAATTTTACGACGTCCGAAAACATTGCTTGGGAACGACCGTAATTTGGCTATCCAGTATCGTCGACCAGTGGTCCTCACCTCCTATACACTTTGGGTAAACTTTGACTCTGTTTCAACCTTTAATTCGAAAAGAAAAAAGAGAGGGGTTAAAGGCAGTCCCGCCGAGACAAAAGGAGCCCCGAAAAACACCTCGGTCTGCAATGCTTGCCCTCATGAAAAAGAAAAAAGAAAGACCACCCCCTCGCCTCCGAGCCGCCACGGGACGGCGGCGGCTGCCCGCTCAACGGCGAGCCGAACGACAGAGAGACGGA